GGCTGGATCATCGCCATCAGTCTGCTGGTGGGAATCCTCATCTTTCTGCTGTTAGCTGTGCTACTCTGGAAGGTAACCAACACATAAGTCACTACACTGCTTCTTTTTCTTGCAACATTTTAAATAAACAAAAGGCAGTTGTCATAAACTTGAGCCAGAAGCACAGTATCCAGTTGTAAAGAGACAGCTTGAGGAAAGTGAAGTGGTGAAGGTAAGAGCTTGTTTTGGAGGTTTTAACTGAAGAAGACAAATAAGAGACAGGATAATAATTCACACCATACCATCACTGACATAAGAGAAGAATCTTAAAGGGAAATGGCAATTACACTGATGTCTAGAGAACAAAACTCCTTTTCTTTTTCACTGCTTCATTTTCCATTGGGAATACCACATCGAAACCTTGGAATGTTGGTCTGGGGATACATTTCGAACCCCCCACCCCCCATCCACAGATTGTCGGACCTTGCCAAAATAAACCCCACTTACAAGAGTCCTGTGTTGCTCTTTTCAGGAAATGCCTGAGGAGAGTACAGGTCTGTATCAATAAGCTTTAGGAGCCAAACGCTGATAAATTAATGGAGTCGTAGTGAGAGAGGCATCCTCCCAGTGTGTCTTTGTTTAGATACACACTGAGATCTACTGCCCTCTCCATCCTTTCATATCTCCTGTATATGACACTTGGTAGGTTAATGTAAATTACAATATTACTTTCATACAGAAACAACACATTTCTAGAGGGGAAATGTTTGATTTGTTTCCATCCACGCTGGTGGTTTTCTGTGGTTAAATAATTTCCAATTGTGTAAACTTAAAATAACTGCCAGCCATTTTTCAAAGCATACAATGCCAGGATGTTCTACATTGATTTCCTACCGCCCAAACATCCATTGCTTGCCATTTGTTTCACTGCAGGGGGAATCTCTTTTTAAATGTGTAACTTTAGGATGTGTAATCCTTCATGGTGATTCAAAATGACGTTATTATTGCAATGATGCAGCTTTCAAAGCAATGTAAAATCAAATCCAGAAGACAAACAAGAACATGTTGAAATCCATAATTTGTTTTGTTTTATTTTGTTGAAAAAGGTTGCTGTTTTACAGCTGAATCTCATAAGGTTGTGTCAAATAGTCCCTTGCAGCGATTGCATAACCACACAAAGACACAATGTAACTACTTCCAAAAGACTCAATACAATAGAGCGCCTTCTTCAATTTGCATGAAAAAAAATGACCCATCATTTTATCAACTGTTCACAGTATCATCCGACCAATACCACATTTAAAAAAAAAAGGTTCCAATAGATTGGTTGTACAAGGATTACTCACAGCATACTGAGTTATACAATCAGGTTATGCACTGAGCGGCACAGTCAAAATACTGATACTTACATTTTTTAATGCTCCCTGAAGTAATTTTTGGAATTTAATGACAACACTGTTTCTAAATCACCACCAAATTACATCAAATCAAAACATCTTGTGGATTTATGGACTTATAATGTCTTGTTACTCAAAGGAATATTTCTAGGCCAAGAAGTTACTGCACCCAGTAGAGAAAGTGCACATTACCGACTGTAACGCCTCTTTGTGTTGTAATCGGCTAACGAGAGGCTGAATGTAGCTTCATATTTTCCTCATATCTCTGCAAAAGACCAAAATATGGGTTAATCCATTTTAAACTCTTCCTTTTATGGGTGACATATTTCCCAATAATAGACTTTAAGCTGATCCACGATAGCTATTATCATCTAGTGGTGGGGCTCACACTAGGCTTTACCCATCGCAAATTTGTAATGACGTCAGAAAATAATGATCTACTATCAACAGTTATAATAAGCTTTGGAAAATGATCAGCGTTGATCTAATTATATGTGATTTGTACTGATTTCAAATATGCAAAATCACAGTTTTTCATTACTGTCTGATGCGACCATAGATACACATTGCTTAGTTACTGACCACTCCGACTGTTGCTCCTCTCCTTCTCTGACAGATGGGATTCTTCCGTCGGCGCTACAGAGAAATCATCGAGGCAGAAAAAAACAGAAAGGACAGTGATGAAAGCTGGGACTGGATGGAAAAGAACCACTGAGACTTGCAGTGGGGGTCCCACAGGAGCCAATGAGATTAGGGATTGGGTCTGGAAGGATCCAATAGCACGTGGTCTCGCAGCCCAGCCGCCCCAGTGGCACCAGGCCCTTCAGTCTTCCATATGTGGAAGAGAAGAATATTCTCCTTATTTTTTGGAGACTTGATCTTTTTTTGTGGGTGGGGGTCTAGGAAACAGGCTTCTGAGGTGTGGCTTGCCAGAGGACACTTGCTGTGGAATTCAGCTAATCTCATAGGAGGTAACTCCCAGCCAGCGAGAGTGGAGCTGTTGATGGAGACCCACATCCGTATGGGGATGTGGAGACGGCATAAATACTGGTGGACAACAAAACCCTCAGGGCTGTGTTACATAGCACATTTATTTTTATACATACACTTTAAGCCATATTGTAAAATAAAAAACTGGGCTTCTAGAAGAGATGGGGTTTTGAAGGCCATTATAAACATACTTATCTACAGTATGTTTTCCTTAAAGCACTGATGTTTGATAAGAATGAATGCCTTGGCTGCATAGCTTTACTTTTATGCCAAAGATATGTCCTGTACAGTATATGATAGAGTTGTTCGTATATGTAGTTCTGCCTGGGAGTGAAAGATTGTATCTCTTCTGTACTATTTCCGCCGTATAAATATCTGTTCTACACATCTGACTGCCTCTCCCTCACACAGATAATCAGCCGGAACTAATTCTGTGCTTCAGACCCACACACGCCATGATTAAAACAACGTGTCCTCCTCATGTCATCCGCTAGTGTTGTCAGTGTTGTCTCAGAGGCGCTGAGGTCATTAGGATCTGGTTCAGGATGTGCAAATCAACCGCACTCTCTTCTTTATTTAGACTGTATTTGCCTGTATTATCCACGCCTGAAATGAAGTGGTTGTGACTTACACCAGCTTTTTGACTTTCCATAAGCATTCCATTAGCTATGATGTGGCTTTTGCTTAAAGATGATAACAACATATTTTTGTCAGGTTTAAATTTGAAACTCTGCAATGCCTTGAATGAACACATGCTTAGAAAGTGCAATTTCCATTAGAGTATTTTCTCTAAATCCGCCTTTGCAAGAAACTATCACTCAGGTATGCAGCAGAGCCCCCCAAAAGTCTCCAGGTTCAAGTGAAGATTGAATACCGTAAGATGATTCACTTTGCGTCATGACACATACCTGATCATGGTACATTTCCAAAGCCTCTCTAGACTTCGCCTAAGCAGACCATATTCAATTTTACTATTATGTTATTAGGCATTGGGTTTTAGCGTGAAATACAAGATCCATTATTCTCCACGGCCAGATGAAAGTCTGCGATGGGGGTCCACCTACAGTCATTCAAAAGGGCCCATGGCATGAGTAATTCCCTAAAAATAGGTGGGAATGTGCTGCACTCAATCACTACACATAAATGCGCTCTTTTGGGCTCATGGGAAAAGCTTGTTTTAAGTCAACATGTAGGAATGTCAGCTCCCTAAAAATCTGCCACTCTAAAAGTTCCTCAGTGCTCACATTGTTACCCCAAATGTTCTCCAGAGTCTTTTTAAAGCTTGGTTTTGACAGATATTTTGCCATGGCAGATTTAAACGTCCAATGCCAAAGAACAAAAACTATATTTTAATATGTTTCACACGTCGGTGCTAAGTCACTTTAATCATGGCTCACTATGATTGCTCGGCTCTCTGTTGTCTGTATGAATCTCTTACACACTTTATTTTAACATTTAATTCCACTGGCATGAAGGCATATATTGTACACATTCACGTCTTCGCTCTGCATCTGTTAAAGCGATGCTAGAAACTGAGACTTGACCATTTCTGTTATATTTGAACTGTGAGGGTTATATTTTGTTTATTTGATTGTTGTCACCGGTAATCACACCGTTATTTGGGGTTTTTGTTCTGAGTATACTACTGTCACTGAATATCATTTCCATTATAGTGTGCTGTATGTTTGATGTTTAAATTCATGTTGGAGCTGTATATTTATCTGTTGATAAATGTTAGAGTGAAAGTTAATGGCTCTGTGTGCTGTTTTTGTCAACGTGAGTCAAGAAAGAGTGGGTGTGTGTTGGTTCACTTGTTTTGTGATGGTGTGTGGTGCTCTCTGCTGGCTGAAATGCTCCAGACAAAAAAACAAGTAAGTATTTAAAGTTAAAATAAAACTCTGTTGGAGGTACGTTATGCAGTAATGTTTTCTTGAACATCAAGTTATTTTGTGCAAAAACAGCATTTTATTGAAAGGGTTCTTACTTTTCATTGCTTGTATGTAAAGCCTGAAAGAGTTGTTCCTTTAACGGAAAATAAAACAAAGTTCATTTTGATGATTTTTCATTTATCGAGAAAAGATGCCATATATTCTCTATTTCCAGCTGTTTAGAGATTTACTCCCTTTTTGTTTGGATGAAAGTGGTAAATTAGACATTTCCGCAGGCAATTTTCACAGTTTACTTAGGGTGAATTCAGCAGTAGGCAACTTTCAAATACTTGAGCAATTCAATATTTTCTATATCTACTAATTAAATACAATTAATAGTGTAATTATGGCCATATATATATATATACTCAAAGCCCAAGGTCCAATTCATTTGCAGCCCCTGCTGATCTCTTAAAATAATATCCAATATTTAACGAAAGTCCTGTTGTTGGAAGATTTCAGTATTATTTAAAGGTTTCAGGATTATAATTTTCTTTTTTAAATGTCCCACTTTTGCTAAATCCAATCGACAAAACAAGTAATCAAATAGTCCAAAAATAACTGCATTCTACAACAATCTGTCAGGAACGAGGCAGCTTGTGTTTGTTCATGTGATCCCGGTTGCTATGAAACACGGATACCAAGCACAAGCTCCTCTGTGGAGCTCACTGAATTATTAATATATGGCTACCACACTGAATACAGCAGGGACACATCAACAAATGCTAACTTTCTTTTGACCCCGGAGAATCACCGTGTTCACTATGTCCTCTTTATTTGAGCATGGATTGATCAGGACTGCCGCAGTGGAGAGGGTGGTCGCCCCAATCGCAAGTCATTTGTGCCATTTGGTGCTGCTGTGTGACGGTGCAGAGGACCCTGAGCACTTCACCCAGCTGGAGGGTGCAGCCCAGGCCGTGGCTAAAGCGACTGAAAACATGGCAGCAGAGGCCTCCAGGTGGGTACAGTTTGGTGTGTAATGGGGTTAAAAGGACACGTGTAATGTATTATCAAATTAACACCAGGCTCCTTTCTTTCAGGGTAATCCGTGACACAGAGGATGAGGTTTTGCACATGGAGATGTCGTCCCTGTTTGAGTCTGTCACTGTGTCTGGACAACACGTGCTGCTGGCGGCCCAGAAACTCAACATCCAGCCCAGTCTGACTGAGCACAGAGAGGAACTCATCACGGCAACACAGAATGTCTTCCTGGGAGTAGTCAAAGTAAAGTATTATTTGTTTGTCTTTGTTTAGAAGGGGGCTCCAAGTATGTTACTAAATATAAATTCAATATAACATATTACAACGTCCATGCTGGTTGTTGTGTGTGGTGCAGAGTTAGGGAGGAAGGAATGGCTGCAGACTCTGACTGATTAAAAGCATAGAAACTTTACAATAGATTCACCTTCCACAGCTGCATCTGATGAATACTTTACCAGATGTATCCTTAAAAGGGAATACTTCTTGACACAATAAAAGGCAAAATCACCAGCTATTTAAACACCTGAACAATCTGAACTTCTGATTCATGATCCTTCACCTCAGCTTCCAATGTTGTTAGAATTAACTTTTTTGTTAATTTGTGAAGACAGATACTGTTTTTATTGTAGGCTACTGATTGATATCTTATCTTTATTTCATTGTCTATACTTTATAAAGGTATACATCAGCTACTGCATGTACATTTATTAAACGGACACAAAAGTTGAGACTGTCATAATCACTTTCATTTTACAATACGTTATGCTCGGGTATAACATCACATGGTGTTTGAGACCCTTTCATTTGTATTCCTTATGGTTTTTGAAAAGGCTCTTTAGATCGGAGAAAACTATTTTAGCACACTTACGTATCATGTTTTTTCACTATCATTATCAAATCATCAGGTATGGATTGCAAGACTATCTGGCCTTAACCCAATATTGCTTTTCTCAGAATATTAGGCACTCGTACAGCAATATGTATATGTATACATAAGTGACATTATGTACCTCTGCACCACAACTAGTTTTCATTTGTGATGTATGTGCATACAAATGTAGGTTTGTAATGAGGAAAGGTTACAAGATCACCAAAGTCAACACGCCCCATTTCATCACAGTTTGAGGCCTCTAACTTACAGTAGCTAGTAAAGCAGTAACACGTTCCTTTTTCTGCCACTGTGCTCCTAGGTTCTGTTAGTGGACGATGATGCAAATATCAGGAGAGTGGTAGCTGCTTCTGATCAGGTTTTGGAGTGCCTCTCTGATCTCGGCTCCTCCATAGACATCAAGTCTCTACTCAAATATTTCCAGGTGTTTTCTGAGGCTCTGCTTCTTCTCCATAGTCTGACAATGGAGAGAGCAAATGCCTTACAGGACCCAAGACAAACCAAACAGCTTCTAGATTCCTTAGAGACCCTGAGGCGGTGCGTCTCCATGCTGCACACGGCCATGTGTACCACCATCAAACATCCAACAAGTGAGGAGGCGCAGGCTGCCAAGAGGTACATCCTGGACAAGGTGCGGGGCACAGTGAATGACATTATTAAAACCCTGAGAAGTGAATGCCACAGTACATCACTGGGTCCTTGCGGGTATTACACAGAGAGGAGGAACAGTCTTTTGAAACTACTTACTAGTTCTACCACCTCATCAATCCAAGGCTCCAACTTTGACAGCCTGGTGAGGGATATTGTGTTTCACTGTATGTTGGTGGCAAACTCTTCTCGTAGGGAGTTTCAACAAAAAGTGGTCGCTCATTGTCGTCACATCCTGCAGTCCTGGTCAGACATCAAAATGATTTTAAAGTCCTCAGAGGATGATTCAGAGCAGAGCGTTGAAAAGCCCTGCACTTTTTTGGCGCAACAAATACAAACGCTTGACAAATCTTTGATGACTACTGTTCATTATCAAGTCTCGGACACATTTCTGACAGCATCTTCTATAGTGGAGGAAGTTTTAAGTGTGACGAGACGGATCCTGGTTTCGCATTCTTCTACAGATATGGATCTAACCTTTATTCAGCCGCTAGTTGAGGATTTGATATCTTCCACTGATAGAATAATCCAAGTGGCAGATTTCATCTCAGCTGTGGCTGTTGATGCGAAGAGTTTGGAGAACGTTGAGAACTCGCGAGTAAGCCTTACAAGACTCAGGGCTCAGATCGCATCTCTGTCGCTTGAGCTGGCAGATAATTCGATGCAAACTGTTCAAAAGCTTCATGAAGTGTGCCAGAAATGGGAGGAGGAGACTAGTCAGCTTCAGGATGCTCTCAGTGATGTAATGGATGTGAGAGAGTTCACCAGCGTTGCTATCGATGAGGTGGTCAGTGATCAACATGGATGTGTCACAGCGTACAGAGAGCAAAGCTATAAACTGTTTAATGAACATGCAGCAAACCTTATTTGTCACTTGAAGCTGGCAGTTCACTCAGTGAGGAGGCACTTGGACAGAAGTAATGACCCAATCTACAGAAATGGCCTCCTAGTGCTGCTCAAACAGGTTCAGTCATCTCGAACCAAAGTGGCAGAATCAGTCAGAGACATGCTTTTAGGTTCCAGTCTAAACGTAGAGGTATATTCTACTTTCTCAGATAATGTTTCTATGGCTATTCAACATTTAAAAGTGCTCAGAAAGGGACTGGACGGCCAACAACATCCACATCTCCTTAGCCCATTGCGTGAGGGGGCACGTCAACCAGAAGTCTCACGGTCATGTGTATCAGTCAAAGACACCTGTGAACTTCACCTGGATCATATGATAAAAGGCTCCCCTGTGTTTGAGGCTACAGAGAGGGATTCCCACATCGTACATGAGGAGGAGCACTCAGATGAGGAAACCATAGAAGCAGAACTGGCTCGTAAATATGACATTGATGATTTACAGATGCCAGCTGCCTCCGTCGAGCCCAAACTAATCCACAAGCCTCTTGAATTTGACCTTTTACCCCTCTTGTATGAAGTTGTGAGTGTGACTAAAGGGAAGGATGTGACAGAACTCAACCGTGCCTGCACTGGTGTTCTCGAGCTATCAAACTGCTACGCCCAAGCCACAAAGGAGGCCATGGCCATTGTTGATGCGGTTGATTGTAAGACGTTGGACAGTTTTAGAGCAGAGGTGGTGTCACTAACTCCGCTGCTCGTCCAAACGGCTCAAGAAACGGCAATGAGTTCAGCAATGAGCATGGAGAGCCTCTACAAACATAGCACGCAGTTTACTGACCTTATTAACAACACCCGAAAGGTTTTACTGCCAGTTGCTGGAGCCTGGTATCAAGCTATTTACACTGAGCTGCAAGGATATCGGCCAACAATGGCAGGCAGTGTTTCGCAGCAACTGAATGAAGTGATGACTTTATGTGCTGATGTGGTCCAGCTTTTGACATCATCTGATTTACCCTCACAAAGCGATGGTCAAGAAACATTGAGCGTTTTACACAACAAGCTGAACAAAGCCCACAACAACACAAAATATCTGGTAGAGTTTTCCACCTCATTGAAAGGACAGGTAGATCAACTAGAGGCACTTTGTATCCTCTGGGGCCTATCCATTCAGATTTTGCTAAATTCTCTTGATAAGATTATGGGAACATCGACCGCAGTGCACCAGTTGAGCCCTCAGAAAAAGCTCTCAGTGTTGTCAGAGAACTCACTACGAATCCAAGAGGCAGCGCGGCTAACCAGCCTGAATTGTAAAAGTGCTTACAAATCGAAACAGTTAACAGATTACCAGGATGAACTAAAATCCCTGACTGAAGCATTTCTCAAAGCTGCCGAAGAGCTTGACATAATGCCAAGTGTAATGCAACTTGCAAAATCTGAATTTTTTCAGAGATATCTTTTGATTAAAATTAGAGTGCTTTTTGTTCATCTAAGCAAAGAAAATAAGGATTATGACACAGCAATTCAAAAGATTGTCGGCATTGCTTATGATTTTGCTCAACGGTTTCGGGAGAACAACACAGAAGAAGCAGAGCAAACGTTTGACAGCGCAGCGGAAACACTTTTGGAAAATGTAAAACCTGCGATAAAAAGAGTCGATGACTGCTTACACTACGTCTGTGACCCACGTGCCCGTTCTAACCTGAGGTCTATCAACGACCACCTGTCTTTTCAGATCTCAGATATAATCAGCAGGGCGAGGCTCATGGTGGAGACTCACTACATTTGTGACACACTCAGTCTGGATGTGCAGATAAAGTGTTGGTCAGCCAAAGCTCACTATGTGGTGGAGGAGGTCAGGAAGCAGGATGGGATTCACCAAGAGGCAAAAGAGCAAATCATGATGGGTCTACAGGGCAAAACATATGAGGATGTCAGAGAAGTCTTGGCTACAGTGCCATCTAAAGACAAAGAGGTGGAATTTCGCTCTGACACGACAATGACATCCTGGCAGAAAAGCCACACAGAAAGTGTTAATACTGCAGAACCCAATAGGAACATGGAAGCTGTGGCCAAATTCAGACCTGGAAATGTGGAAAAATATGTATGTATATCAATATTAACACTGTTTTAAAAATTGGTGATTCCTTTATGTCTCAATAACTCACCTCCATGTTTTTCTCTATAGGAAGGTGTCTGGTTTGGCGCATACAAAGAGACTCCCTCGTTGACACACACGTCGCTTTTTCTTAAGCAAGAAAGTGACAGCTGGGATCCCAAGGACAACCGAATTGTCCAGGTGACAAGGAAGATGGCTGACACCCTATGTTATATGACTCAGTACTTGAAGAAGAAAGGACCAATACCGGTAATAACCACCAGAGGGCCCTTTACTGCATGGATCTATGGATATTTGTAGGCACCCTACTACAATCATTCTTTCTTTTACAGAATAAAGAGGCATTTGTCACTGCAGCCAAAGATTTGATCTCAAACAGCCAGTCAGTAACTCAGTTCCTCAGAGTTATTGCCAACCACTGCCAGGATAAACAGTGCACAGTTGAACTTTCCCTCGTAGTTGAGCAGATTCTAACCATCACCAACCAGCTCAACATCATCTCCAGGTTGGTATAGTGTATGACACATGGTGAGAAGAACTAAGCTAGAAAACAATAATAACTGGACGTTTTTTATTCATAGTGTCAATGCTGTAACACCTGGCTGCAAATCATCTGATGAGATCCTGGTGAAGAACACTCAGAATCTACTCCAAACTGTCCTGCGAGGGGTCCACGCGGCAGAGTCAGCCTGCATCACTGTAAAAATGTTATCTAAAAAACAAGCATTAATTATGAAGTTTTCTCAGATTGATACGATACAGCTCTAACTCTCTGTTATGTGAATTGCCGCCTGCAAAATGTCTTTCTCTTTCCAGGGTTTGAGGCAACCGGAGCCAAACTCAGATGGTGCCGAGGCTACAACCTTGTGTTTTCAGTGGATGAGGACATTAGAGATCCATCGAGCCCAGCAGACCTCCAACCTAGAGACTGATGACCTGGGTTTGAGGAAGACTTCGTCCCACACTGTAGTGCCCAGTCTTGCCTCGCCAGTTGGCTACAAGTAGTACTTATAAACAGTTATGGCAAGCCATTTGAGTATGTATTCCATATCCTTGATATTAGACGGCAGCTGCCTACACTAGTTGGCTCTTTGATTTCACTTGTTAGATATACAGTATGGTCACATATGGCAAGCCATTTGAGTATTTATTCCATATCCTTGATATCAGACGGCGGCCACCAGTTCATCAACAAGCTTACAAGTTGGGACTTTGGAGCTACTAATGCTGCTCCTGGCGTCACTAGTAAGGCATATGTGGTAACTAGTCAGACAAAAGTGCCACTAGTTGCTGAAAAAGAGTGACTAGTATAATGTTTTATTGAACTAGTAAAGCAGAATGCCAAACTAGTTTGACCATATCTCTAACAAGTGGAATCAAAGAGCCAACTAGTGTAGACAGCTGCCGTCTGATATCAAGGATGTGGAATAAATACTCAAATGGCTTGCCATAAAGTCATACATGTTGACTAGTGCATTTTTTGACACACCACTAGTAAACTAGTTGCACGTACACGTCAACTAGTAAGTCATTGTGTTGAACTAGTGAG